GTTTATTACTTTTTAAAAAATGATTATATAAATTTAATCACATATGCATATTTATTAATTAAACGATTTGTTTCAAAAAATTTATCTTATTACATTATTTATTTTATTAATGCATATCATATTATTATTAAAACATTAAAATAAATAAAATTAAATTTTAATTCATATTATGTTCATATATGAATTGAACTTTTAACAAACATCCAAAATGTTAACTTATAATATCTATGTTAACATATAGATATATTTTATAGAGAAATATGCGAGCCCGTGCGAAGCACGGGGTAAAAACTAGTTTATAGAATGATAATGATTAACATTAACCCATAGTTCAACTTCAGTGAATGTGATTTATTATTGGAAGATAGATAGATTTAAAGCATCTCCATTCTCCAATGTATAACGTAAAAGTTGGTAGTGTTAATGAATTTTTACACTATCAACAGTGTTTTACACATTTAATCCGTACTTTTCTATGCTCTCTCCAACCATATCTTTTATATAATATTTCCTCTGCACTAAAATGATCATTCCAGTTAAGTTTACGAGGTTTGACTGAAATCATTTTGAATTCAATTTTACAATATTTTAATCATTTAAGTTATTTAATCGCAATGATTATTTCTAATTCATACGGATCGTAGTATTTTAATCATAATAACATTTATTATGCGTATAATCTAATCAATTTTTGTACAATCTAATCAATATATTATTAAAAAATTTATAATATTATTTAAAAGTAAATATCTAAATAATTATTGGGATATTTTACCATAAAATTAAATAGAATATCTTATGGAAATATTTTAACAAAGAATACCGATTGTGTAGAGGTGTAAACGGATATTTATCAGATCGGATGTGCCAATACCAAATCTGTATCTGTTTATTTTTGTCAGATATCAAATTTGGATACGTATCTTGACAGATACTGAAAATCAAAACTGTATCCGCATCTGTCGGATATCAGATATATCCGTATCCGTTTCCAATTTCTAAAACCAAATTAAACAATACTTAAATTTTCAATTAAACTAAATCAAAATATTGTTAAATGAACTATATGTTTTTTATGGGATAATTATTTTCTTATTTTTTTATAGTTTATAATATTCTACGATAACTTTATATTATAAAAAGATATACACAGTACATATATACACATATTTTATATGTCTACACATATTTTGCATATAAAAATATCTAATACTTTGAAATATTATTAGAGAAACAAAATATAAAAATAAAAAATTAGGAAAAACTATATATAACGGATCAGATACACAAATCACAAATGAAGGGATTTAAACGGATGTCAATGCGGAGCGGATTATTAACGGATCGGATGTATGATTACCAAAGCTGTATCCATTTAGCAATCGGATACGGATAATAACCGCTTTTAACAGATGCGTATATTTTTCATATAAACGAATATGGATGCGAACGATAATCCAATTTTCTGTTATTCATTTACAACCATATTATTGTGGGATATGAACCATAAACAAAAACTAAAAAGAAAACATACGGAGTAT